CCAAGGTTCTGTAGTGTCCAATGCAGATTGGACTCTCTCTCTCTCTCTCGCTCGCTCTCCCTCATGTGCCTCATGCACCTCAGCTCCATAAGCCACAAGCATTTCCTTTTCAAGCTGGGTTCCTGCCCCCAACCCCAGTGAGTCGTGCCTCTTCAGGGGTCTTGCCCGAAGGAATCCTCCAAGGTTCCAACTTTGTCTGTATCTTCCTGGGTGCAGTTGGTCGATCAGTACAACATATGCAACGCTGCCTTCTGAGGGCTCTCCACGCCTCAACTGTTTGCATCCAAAGGACCTTTCTCTGAAAAAATCCTCCGTGGTGGAAAAGCACCTGGGTATGACCTTCCAAGAAATCCCGATGGTATTCACTTGCAAAAAACTGTCGCCAAGTAGGATCCAAGAGATCAAGTTTAACATGCGCCGCGAACTCCAACCTACTAGCGGCCTCCAACCTACTAGCGAATGAGTCAACCGAGTCTTATGAACTTGAACCATGACCCTTTCAATGCCTGCTCCTGACAAGCACGAAGGACAGGGCCGTCGGACATGCGGCCTTTCCGGTCTAACTTCCTGACGCGAAAGACCCGTGACACGACATGCGCAGTCTCACGCCCTTCTTCAAGCTATGACCTAGGAATACCTAGGATATTTTAGACCAGGCGCGTGTTTGTCATGGCTCTCACGTGCGTTTTGCCTGGCTTTTATTGTTTATCTTTTTGGGTGGAAAGCTTGGAGTCGAAAATCGAGTGATTAACATGTAGTGGCAAAAATGATGGGCATCCCAAAAATGCAACCCTTGCGCGAACAATGTCTTCTTTACAGCTTAGAGGGCAATCGTGGCTCAGTTCAAACTTCGCATCGAGGCAGCCGCAGGTTTCAGGGCACAAAGGCCGTAAGGATGCAAAGAGGCCCTCAAAGCCTTCACAGAAAGTGGCATTCACATATGGATCCTTACTGCTCAAACTGGTGCAGCATCTGGGCAAAGTCATAAGAAACATATTTGTGCCAGCTACGATCCTTCAATCAAATGTGCAGAAGTGAGCGATTTGGTTCACAATCTCTGCGCAGCATGCAACTTGTAGGACATAACACATAGGGGCCACTGGGGACCTGTTTGTGAACCAAATCTGCCATGAAAACCTTCTGAAACAGGCAAGGTTTCTGCTTTCTCATGTCGTAACGCGCTGCATCCCCCAGTCAACATCTTGCGCGCTTGAGCTTGCACTTGAGCCAGGCGGACTCCACCCTCCTTTGAGGAAGGGTCCATCCCTTGGATTGAGATGCCGTTTTGCAGCAGCTGCGCAAAATACATCCAACTGTTCAACCCGTAGCATGATCATGCAGGATTCGATGCTGAACATTTCCGCTTCTTTAAGTGACGTGATGCCACCAAACTGTTTCGAATTGAGATTTAGCACATGAAGGCACCGCAGCAAGGCCGGACGCATCGTTAGATGTCATGTTCCAATAGCGATGCCTCTGCTCCTAGTGGTAGTCGGGCCAGGAGCCCCTAGTAGCTTCTTGTTACTAGTAGTGAGGCCAGGAGCTACTAGTTTCGTCCTTGCTCCTAGTAGCGATGCCCTTTGTTCCTAGTAGCTTCTTGTTACTAGTAGTAAGAATACTCCTAGTAGCGATCTTGCTCCTAGCAGTGGGGCCCGGAGCCCCTAGGATAATGGCCCACTACCACATGTCGTGGCCCTGCCAGCATTTTCGCGGTGTTGACTGTAGTGTTGACTGAGTGTTGACTGTAGCGTTGACTGTCGCGTTGACTGGCTGTTGACTGTCAAGTGTGGGGTGCCTGTTGTTGGTGAACGACATGCAAGGAGGAGTGGCTGGCCATTTAGCGTTGAACGAGTGCGCAGATGAGACTTACAGGACGCTTTAAACGAATGTGGTAAGTAGTACAAACTGCTGAGTTTTCTTCGGTGGGCGGAAGAAATCCTGCGCCACTTTGATACAGCCCTCATTCAAAGCTGACAGACCAGCAGCCCCGCACCCCTATTCAATGCTGTCATGCCATGCAGGATGGTGATGCAGGATTTCCGTCAATGGCACCTTTGCAGCTTGTGATACCAAAAGGAACAATGTTAAAAAGGTAGCGCGAGGGTATAGAGAAACATCTGTATGAAAGTGGTACAGGATTTCTTCCGTCAACAGTAGTAGTGAGGCCAGGAGCTACTAGTAGCGTCCTTGCTCCTAGTAGCGATGCCCTTTGTTCCTAGTAGCTTCTTGTTACTAGTAGCGATGGCCTCCACCTAATAATTGGCGTCCTTGCCATAGTAGTAATGGCCTCCAACCTACTCGATGGCCTCCACCCAAACATTGCGCGCCAAAGAACCAAATGCATAGAGCCCAACTGAAGGCCAAGTCCGCCAAGTGTCAATCCACTCCTGTCCTAAGTTTCACACGAACTCAAGATGTTATGGTGCTCTCTGTGCAGGATTTGTGTTGGCTGAATCTGGGCAGCAAGTATCTTGTCTGATCTTCTTAGGGGCACGGTGAATCTATTTGGCGAGGGGTTAGCACATGATCATCCTTCCGTATTCGGGTTCCAATCAGGTTTCTATTGCTATACACCATCACGGCAGCATGACCAGCCGTAGCAAGTTGCAAAAACACGTAAAACATTGAACGTGATAAACCCAGCTTTGCAACCCAACAATGAGCACAACTCAACTGACCGGGGCTTTGCAAACGCTCGACCTTATGCGTTGCCAAAGCTCCCAAGCCGACCCGAAATCCATTTGTCAAATGCAAAGGGAGCCGGGGAGCAAGAGCCGGAGCCGGAGGAACAGCAAACAAGTTGTTCCCACGCAAACGCGCAAAAGCGTGTCACTAGATACGCGCAAACACCTGCCGCGTGGTTGATCCTAAGTGGCAAAGGAATCTGCCTTGTCAGCAAATTGTCAGTATCTTCTTTGTAACCCACACTTTCCAGCCTTGATACTCCTTTGGCCTATTCATTCTCTCAAGCAAAGGTCGAGGATCCGCCACGAATGGCGATAAATTAAACAAAGGCAGCTGGAATCCTACCCAGAGTGCACAGGCACATATCTCCTCAAACCAATAGCCCCCGATGGAAGCGAGTCTGAGCTCACAGCACATATATGTGTGTATATTACTACTTACATATACAGTATAATATACATGTTCAGTGCAAACCTAGAAATCTCTACTTGGCTTTCCTTTAGCGAATAGGAAAGGGGAACCTTGTGAAACTGCCCAACCTAGTTACCTAGTTCAACCGAGTTGTAAAGAGCAGCAAAAACAACGACAAGAACACCATCAACAATAAGAGCAAGAACCAAACGCAAGAATTGAATCCGCCGGCCTGCCGGCGTGTTTTGTGGATTGTTTTGGTTAATATTGCTTGTATTGGTTAGTATTGCTTGAGTATTGTCTATCCGCGCGAGATTTTCGACAGCCTGACGCCCCCCCCCCCCCCCCCCATGGCCGCCACCTAATAATTAGCGTCCTTGCCATAGTAGTAATGGCCTCCAACCTACTCGATGGCCTCCACCCAAACATTGCGCGCCAAAGAGCAAAATGCATAGAGCCCAACTGAAGGCCAAGTCCGCCAAGTGTCAATAGTAGGTAGGTAGGTAAAGACAAGGATGAGGAGAGGGGAGGTGGGGAGAGGGGAGGAGGGGGGGGGGCTTCGACCTGAAAAATCAGGGGTTAGGATTTGCACCCGGTCGAAAGAAACCTTGCTATCGCAAGAGTAACTCCAGCTAGCTTCGCTAGCTTTCGTGAAAAACGACAAATCATGCCAGATCTAGAAATTCTTCGGTCGCTTTGAAGCCTTCTGCGTGTGAAAAAGAATATCTGGTGCGTGTCGCAGTCCCTCGAGATGGTCGAAAAAAAGATCTGAAAAGGAAAACATGCACACGGCCAAGTAGTTTGGAAGAAGAATCGTTTTCAAGGTCATGTTTTGTGGATAGTCTT